TTTTTTTTCACGAACAAGCAGGAATTTCCACGACATCGTTATCGCCGAATACGTGTAAAACTTATAATTGAAATCAACATTTTCATTTATGCTCATTGAGTTATATGTACTACGTACTAGAGAAGCCATTCCGAACATTGACTATGTTCAACTGAACTGTAGTGCAATCCATAAAAACTAAATATTGCGTAAATTGAAGATTCGTGAATTCCATAAAATAATTATTATTACATTTTATTTAGAAATATGTTTGTTTAGATTAAATTAAGATATTATATATTAAATTCTTATATTTATTTTGTATTAATATCTTATTTTATATTAAATTAAAGTCTTCGCGCATGCGCGACTACTTCTCCCGCGCATGCGCGAAGACATAGAGTAGGACAATTTTTGTTTGGAATGCCTTCTCTAGTACGTAGTACATATAATTCAATGTTTATGCTGCATATTAAAATACAATACAAATGGAAAGACTCCTTGTCGAAAAATTTTTCAAAAAGGATATTTTAACAAAAAGTCGTAAAATCATATTAAAATTATGTAATTACCAAATGTTTGAAATGCTTTGTTAAAATACAATTAATATTAAAACGAACTGTAACCACAATGGTAACAAAACATGTTTACCTGCTTCATAATTATTTTATAATTATTACAAATCATTCATCGTAAATATGCATTTACAATGCAGATGTAACGATTATTTATTAGTCTGTCGATATATTCGTGAAAACTTGGCCTTCATTTACAGTTTATTAAAATTTAATTGACTCGCTCCAGCAACATATCTCACAATTTTAAAACACGTTTTTGTTATACAACAACTTTATTCTTAAATAATTTCTTATTGCTGAATTTTACATTAAATAAAATAGATTTACACTAGAACAACTACGACATTAATGATATTTATAAGTAATTCCTTTTATTTGTTCTTTTACTTTTGGGAGTAAAAGCATTTTAATTCCGAATCCGCAAACACCAACGCTTATACCATATGACACGTGGTAGAGCCACACTACACCTATACTATGATTGTAGCACGAATGGATCGACTCGACCGGGGAAGGACACTCTCACATAATAGAATACCAGCATGAAAAGTCAGCTTTTAATACTGCTGTGTTTCGTATGGTTAGCGTAGAGAACCGAAGACCCTTTTTCCTGGAAACTATTCCACCTTAGTCCGCAGGGGCGACAATGGATTTGTATTTTGATCCTTAATGAGGATAGATAAAAAATTTTATTGGCCACTTACCATCAGGTGGACTGTGTGCTCGTTTGTCACCTTTTTTCTTTAAAAAGGTACAAGTTGCAGAAAAAACAATTAAAATAAGTCTAACTATAAACGGAAACTAAGGAAAATTTACTAAAATCATTGTAAATCAGAGGAACAGACTGTCGTAATTGACATCATTATCGCATCATTCTAGACAGAATCCACTAGATTTATCTAGCACTTACATTCTTTGCCTGCTAACCTTCGCAATCAAATCTACTTTTGAGTTAAACAGCAATAATGGCATCGGATGCTGACTACAATGAGCACTATTCTGTTGTAGGTGACCTCACTCTTGCTAAACGCCGACACAATACAAGAAGCGCCTGTTGATCGTCTTTTAAACGATCTTGCGACTCTATCGCAATGTGTTATTAGCGTTGCGATACGCTACCGGGCCAAGGTTATATTGCAACAGGCTTTCTAACACCTGTGACCTGGAGTTCTATTTGCTTTCAGCGTTCCAAGTACGCCAGGATTAATTTAAATTCTTCTCACCTTTTCACCTTTTCCATTTGGTTGAGAAACAAAATAGTCTTTGTTTACTGACCATTGTTATTGTAAGAAATTGCATCTTTAATTGTTTTTGATGAGTTTGTTTAAATATATTTGCCACCAGCGATGATATTGCAATGAAACAATTCACTGGCCTTGTTTTCTTTTCAATCGACGATTTTCAGCCTGGCATCGAACAAGTCCAATGAACCGAAAACATTATGATGGACCTCAATTCGGTGAGATTTCACTTCTTTATCAGCGGTGGATATCGTGCGTTAGACAATACAATTGCTCACGAACGTTATATCAAATGCATCATACAATTGAACGTTCTGCAATCACGAAAAACAGATCATAGATTTTCACAAAATTAATAACCGTTCTCAAAGTAACTGCAATGATGGTACGAAACTCAACTGAACCCTCATAAACAGTAATTATTATTGTGTGTTCACTTACAATAGTTACTGCTGCTTGAGAATACCTACGTTTAAAATTGTCAACTTTCTTATGGAGCAAGATAACTAGGAAACATTTATTTACCGTCAAAATCTTCAAAGGCAATACTAAAAAATTCTCGCCCAAACGGGCAGGGCTGTCTCACTGTTAATTTACTTGGACGTGGATATTATTTCCAATGTAAAACATAAAACCAAAATAATTAAGATATAATGAAAATATAAAATATAAAATTGAAATGGTCCAACAGACAGGGGTTAATCATTCATAGACGTTCTACCCCGTGAAACTAAAATCACACGTTGGGTTCGGGAACAACGAGGTGGACGTGACCCCCCTTGAAGGAGTGTCACGCCTGTTACCCTTTCTGAAAAGAAAGGTTAGACGACCAAGATTACGCGTCCTCTTGGAGTGGTCCCGGTCTTAACGTCCATTCAGTTGACTGTATATTGATCTAATTTGGAAGGCGCAGTAGGAAATAAAACATTGATTTTATCTTCGTAATTTCCCCTTAAGAGTGCGACGTTGAAACTTTCATTACTTTCCTATCACTTTCTCTATTGTTTTCTTCTCTCTTGATTTAAACTATAAACTGGTGGCTGGTCCCAAACAAATTTCCAAATTACCACTTTACTATCCTAATCGCGAGCTATACGCGAAAGAGAAACGCGCACCGCGCGTCATTTCGACATGACATTGATTTTCATCATTGCACCCTTGTATTTTACCCCGTATCTTTATTTCTATAAAACATATCGTTATCACATAAAAACATATTAAGCTATTCAAAGACACATTTTCAAAGTAAGAAAACTTAAATATCTAACACACATCGTTAAAATAACAATTTTTATTAATAAACATGAATGTCTTATCTAATACAATAGTTTAATTCACAATTTAAAAGCATTTTACACTTTACTTCAAGTTTAATTTTCCTATATGAATGTATTTATTATTTCACTGAGACACTTTTAACACAGAAGCAGAACTGTTTTTATTAACACATATAGTAAAGCGTAGAGCGTAGATCGGACCAAAATTATTAATTAAAAAAGCTGAAGGTACTCCGGTTTAACACTGACATCGGGAGTCGGGACGTCAATCACCTCAGTCCCCCGTGACCACGATTGCTGGAAAGCAACCGAAACGTCGGAAATATAAAATAAGTTAATTAAACGCGATAAAATCCGTAAAAAATAGTTTTATTCAACGTATAGTAAACCTGAAACATTTATTACTTATTTCTACTCACTTTACAGAAATTTTCACAAATTAATAAAGTTTTTTATTTATTTTACATTATTTGGACCCCGTTTGGATCCCATACAACAAAAACAATCACGACCCTTATCATATCGATAGGACTAGTGCTTTCTTTGTCTAAATTACAACTATCTCTGTTCATTATGAAACATAATTTGTTTACATAATATGCAATTCTTATCAGTTAGTCAGTAGTATTTCAGTTATTTCCATAGCATAATGTCTTATGGGATTTTGCTATGGGGAAATGCGGCTGATTCAGAAACTATTTTTGTTTTACAGAAGAGGGCCATTAGAGCTATTTACAACCTAAAACCGAGAGAGTCTCTTAGAGATAAATTTAAAGAAATAAATATATTAACTTTGGCCTCTCAGTATATTTACGAAAATTTAATGTATGTTCACAAAAACAAAGGGAGTTTTAGTAAAAAAAAGTGATATACATTCTGTAAACACTAGGAACAAACACAAGCTAGTGATACCAGTTTCTCGACTCCACAGAGTCAGAATTCATTCTTAGGGCAATGTATACGCTATTACAACAAGGTCCCGGAAAGTGTACAGGCACTCTCTATTAGCAAGTTTAAATGTTTTGTTAAGTTGAAACTGTATAAAAAGGATTATTATAGTATAAATGAATACATGATTGATAATAACCCCTGGAAATGAGGTGATCGCTTCCAAGCAGTTTCTAAAATAAATTTTGTAAATAGTTCGTAATCATTTATATTTTAAAATTTATTTTAAAAAAAGTCCCGCTGGGTTTTTTAGCTGGTTCTGCCCAGGACAGAGGGTCTTTTTTCGAACCAGTGGTAAAGTAAAAAATGACTTTCTATAAGAATTAGACATGTAATGTATATTGAATAAAAATTATTCTATTCTATTCTATCAGCCATAATGAATCTTATCCCTTATCACAAGAGCAACATATATTTTTATCTAAAATAAGTATTTAATTTAATACAAGACTTTTATTCGTATTTCATAGTCGATTACTATGTAACACATGACTCTAAATTAATCTATAAACAAACTTTTACGGAATTAACTCTCGACAGAGGAATCGAACTCCGAACTTTCGTTCGACATTGTATTGAATCTAAATAGATTCAATATAATGTCGAACGAACATAGATTATCTCTTTATTCGAAGTGCCTTATACAATTTAATAGCAATATCTTCAAAACATGAAATTGTTTATTTTTTATGAAGTGAAAAATGATAAACTATTTTTTAAGCGCGACGGCAACAAAAATAAGTAAAGTCACTGAAAATAAGTGTGGCTTTGCATTAGTGCGACTACGGGCTTCCATCACGCCTGGCACAAGTGTCATATGGCCCGGAAATAACTATTTCAGATCTAAATGTTCATGTGTAATGTATACACCTATCTAAGTCCTATACGTTACAGAAGAAAATCCAAATGTGATCCTAAAAACGATAAACGTATTATATAAAGAAAAATGACGATTTATTTAAGATATTTGTTTACAGTGCTGGAATGATGGGCGAGGGCCTGCTGACGCTCACATACGGCAAGCACCACGCCTGCATCTTGAACGAGGTGGGCGCAGCGTGGCGCGGCGCCAGGTACTCTGACCTGGTGTTGGTGTGCGACGACGCCGTGCCGCTCGCCGCGCACCGTATCGTCATGGCCGCTGCCAGTCCCTTGATCAGGTAACCTTACAAAGACTGCTATGTAATCGCTCTAAATCATGTACCTACTATTTTGACTTACATATCATGTTTTCATAATGGCATTTATTTTGTTCTAGGAAAATACTTGATGATACTCCATCAGCCGACAATCCAGTCACGATCCACTTGTCCGGCATTAGCAGTACTCTTATGAGGCACCTCCTGGTCTTCCTGTACAATGGCCAAGCATACATAGAGGTTGGTAATATTTTTATTGACAACAACTCTTATTCCGATCATAAACTTGACAGTTTTAATTGCGTTTGCTACACGATGATTAAAAAATATTTATTATTTCCAGTCTGGAGAGATCGATGACATGCAAGAATTGTTTGAATTGTTAGAGATTAAATCGGACGTTTGGAAATCGACAAAGGAACGCCAACAACAAGAAGAAAGGAACAGATCGTGCGATAGATTAAAAGCCAAAAACCTCAAAACAGATATAAACAGCAACGAGAGCAGTAAACATGACGCACCGTCAGGATCATCACACTCGGAAAGCGACAGAGTTACACCGAGTGCGGGCTACAGTAAAGATAAAGAAAGGGACGATTCAGAATCACTAAGTATAAAGAAAGAGACAATGTCAACAAGTAGTAACGATGAAAGGGAAGACGAGGATCCGGATGGAGAAAACAGAGGCAAAGGTTGTGGTCGGTTGACGACGCGGCGGAGGAGTTCATCAAATCCAGTAAATCTTTCACTAGCAAGAAATTCCGAAAACACAGGCAGTGAACACGATGAGTCCCAGGATCTAGACGTTGAAACGGTCGCCGCAAAGGTATGATTGTATTATTTAAACATTGTTGTAATTCATTTAATATCACTTAGCGCATTAGCTATCTGTAGCGCTTTGGCTTAGCCACTACGCTGTGATTCGGATCGTCAAATTCTAACGATACGGGGTTATTTTTCAGAGTAGCCAAAATTAAAAACTTAAGTTAAAATATATAAATAATGATAATACTGTTATTGCAGTTTTTGAAAATATGAGTAAATAAGGCTTCTACTTTCTTACTTTCTTCTTTATTTGAAACTAGCTGCCCCCGCGACTTCGCCCGCGTGGACTTTACTACGATTTGATGGGTGTTAATTTTTTTTGCGGGGAACTCTTATTCTTTGATTAATATAAAAGTATCCTAAGCTACTCCTTATAACACCAGCTATCTGCCAGTGAAAGTCCGGTCAAAATCGGTCCAGCTGTTTCGAAGATTAGCCGAAACAATTAGACAAAAATTTTAGTTGTTTTTTGTTATTAGTACCATATACGTATACTTTCATATGCATTTAGTAAAATCTGTTATTTTAACATTACAAATAGACAGTTCAATTTTATTTATTTGTATGTATGTATGTATGTACATGTATAATAGATGATCCTAAATTGAATGTGATTTATGGGCAATAACGTATTTGCCTACCGATCGATTCTTACGGATGTGTGCGTGCACAGTAAAATCAGTTAAAATAATGCATTACCACGCATTTTGAATTTTAAAAGATAAAAAGGACGGAATGTTTGAGTTTTTTTTTAATTAAACTTTCTTTACTATTTGCCTATATTACTTATTCTGAACCTTCTCTGCAAATTTGGCCGGTAATTGCAAAATAACCCTATACATTTTTTATTAATTTATAAAACTCTAAAAATATAATAAAGTAACATAAGGCCTACATACATCCTACTGATGAATTGGGAGAGAGGGTTAAAGAGCATAAAATCTCATGTTGACTTTACATGGCTTGGAAATATTTTTATTACTAAGATATGCAGGATTCCTCACTATATTTTCTTTCACCGCCGAGCACTACTACGGCTCGTGAGAGGGTAATTGCTCGCCGCGGTCTAAGCTCGCTGTAAATTACGCTACAGCCTTACACCATTCAACCAATTGGGCTGAATGGTCATATATGGGCATATATCATATAATGATAAACATGTTATTTCTTTTACATTTTATTAATCTGTCTATAAGTTAAATATAAAGTTGTTGTTTATTTTTCAGAATATTGGAAGGAGAAGGTCAACCTCGTCTAGCCAAGAAGATCAGCCCCAAGAAACAATATACAGGAGACATTTACTAAATGATCGATTAGGGAAAGGAATTGAAAGAGCTAAAAGAAAATCACATTATCTTGAACCTCCCGAACTGGACCTGCGAACAGTGAAGTTAGAGGATTACGCGCAACTCAAACCACCTGATCAAGATCTTATGTCACTTGTTCAAACATCACCGGAAAATTACGTTGTCACACCACATCGAAAAAGAAGACCTGGATTCCACAATTCACCATCACAAAATCCTCCATTTGTATCGTTTCCCCCAAGTTACCTAGAAGAAATGGCACATTTGAGATACGCGCAAGGACCTGGTGTGGTGGCAGGGGTTGCTAGTGCTCGTCTTGGTACTTTTCATCCATTAAGTGCATCAGCGCCACCATATTTACCTGAAAGAAGTGCGACTCCTCCTGCAGCAGCACATGACGACGCCCTTAAGTATCGACCTCCTAGTGCGGGATCTTGGGGCCCTTGGTTGTGTCAACCACAGATGGGCGGTGACGATACTCCTTCCACAGAACACGAACAAGGATCGAGTAAACAAGCACCAGTAAGGGAATATCGTTGCGAATATTGTGGTAAACAATTCGGCATGTCATGGAATCTCAAAACACATCTTCGAGTTCACACGGGTGAAAAACCTTTCGCTTGTCGACTTTGCGTTGCAATGTTTAAACAGAAGGCACACTTACTGAAGCACTTGTGTTCAGTACATCGGAACGTTATATCGTCTAGCGAAAACGACGGCCGAACCAACACTCCTGGCCGTTTTAATTGTTGCTTCTGTCAACTAACATTTGAAGCACTACCGGAGCTTATCAGACACCTTTCAGGCCCGCACAATAGTTTGCTTCTTAGCAAAAACTTACACGAATGACGCTCGCCCACGTGACGCGGCCATTCACGTTTTATTGGACAATGATATTTCTCTCGCTCCGAGAGCTCAATTGTGATATGTGTTTAAAAAGAATATTAGTTTTAGTGTTTAGTATTAAGATTTGTAAAATCGCAGAGCGATACTCATAGTGAGACATTCGCAGGTGAAGGTGACTGCGGGTGTTATAATGAATAATTTAAAACAATCATGTTTGCCGCGTGGGTCCAAATTGTTATAATTTGTTTAAAAATTATAATCCGGGACCAATACCTTCCGAGATAGTATTTATTTGAAAGATGTATTTCATTAGCGTAAATATTATTTAAAAGCCACCGACACATTAATTCCTTAAGCATAGAAAATAGACGCGAATGTCAAAGAAAAGTTGCGAAGTTTGTACAGTCCCATATGTTGCGAACGTCACATGAACTACCTCCTAATTTCATGAAACCATCGGTGACGTCGTTGTGGTTTTATTAGCATTGGCTATGTGCTTTTTCTCTGGTTAAAGTGTACAGACTTACTAGTCAGAATTGGAATTTAGAATAAGTGAAATTAATGAGTATTGCATTCACACCTATTGGCAATAGTTCTTCGTCAAAATTTTTGAAGTTATACTTCTTTTGGAGCGTTTGGTAAAAATGTTGAGAGTGAATTTTTACGACGCGCGCGCACACCGACACCTAAAAGCATAGAGATATAAATATACCTATACCTCTAAGTCAGTGCCTAAAAGCGACAACTTCAGTGGGTAATTGTTTCTCAAGTTTTTTTTGTTTTGTTACGCTAAAGAAGCATAACTTCCTACGCGCGTACATAAGTACACACACGTTTTTTTTGTAAATAAATCTTATTTAGCATTAGAAATATAACCACTATTATTTCCATTCTCTGTTCTCACGAGTAGAGTGATAAAATAATTCTAGTTTTAATAATTTTTTTCCGGTTTGTTCCAATAAATTTCATCTGACTCGATGATTCGCAGCTTTTCAACGACATATACAATCTCAATTTTAGGATTTTATCATTTATGTACGTAACTTCTAAAGTAAAAAAAAAAAATGTGTTCGTAATGTTAAATTTTTTTAATATGCTCTATGCTTTCGTTTGTTCGTGCCGAAATAAATGCAATGTGGATGAGCACCAAAGATTTGTAAAGCGTTAAAAGTGAAGCATGTTTTGGTGTTAACAATTAAGAGAAATTATAGGGACCTGAAATGATTTTGATTTTGTTAAATATAACATATAGTAGGTACCAATTAAATAATCTCACGACTGTAAATAATAACTTTCCCCCTATCTGTAACTTTTTTGTAATTCTACTGCGAGCTATTGTTTTAAACGTAAATATCTTTCTATTTTTTGATTAATTTACTACTTTAGCATTAATGTAAAGCTTAACAAGCGCTATTTTCATGTAAACGTTTATACCAGCATTGCGATATTTTCCATTAGTTTTAAAGAACTAGGAAGCTTTTCATCGAACAGATTAGTATCATGGCCAGTTATAAATACTTATTATAGTTAAAACTGTATGTTCGGTAGTGTTTCCGAAATCTTTAAAATCTACTTCATTTCCAATAGTTATATTTGACGCATGAAGCCAAATATTTAAAAAAAAATGTAATTGCGTCTGCAAGTTTTGTTACATTTTCCGTAATACTCATTTTGTACAATACTTGTCGCTATATTACTATGAAATTCCTTAAATGTGGCAATATTGATATTGATTATATGGACAATGATTTGTCGAAATTGGTTTGTTTAATTCAAGAAAACAAGAGTTACCAGCGTGTTGTTCAAAATATAGCGTAAACGGCAAAAAGTTGTCGATACGCTTTAATTTACTATTCGATCGTTACCTAATTTACCTGATATTTGTTTTTTTTTTTGTTTTGTTTATTAGCGTCGTATATTGACGCGGTTTGTGTAATTGGGGAACAATTTAATCTTAAGAATCGTGATGTCAAGTTATCATTAGAATATTCTTTGTGATAAATACCCGTTAAGTAGGGCGCAAAGAGAAAGCTGTCTTCCATTGCGTTTTCCACATTTTCAAAACTTTTTATTCATGTAAATAAATGTTAGATTAAGTGAACTGCATGACAATAATGTCGCCTTAAACGCTACAAAAACTATACCTGCCGATTTAATACGTAAAAGGTTATTCGAACAAATTTATATATTTTAATCGCCTTGATAAACATTAATAGTAATTAAGATTGTTGTGATAAACTGGCATAATGCCGGTGCTGACTAAATTTATTAAAGAGCAATGCAACTTCAGTTTTATTGTATATATAATATTAATAAGTGACATTTCTTCCTTATTCAGATCGATTGATAAACCTTCTTTTAAAACAAAGAACAAAAACATATAATTGCATTTCTATTGAAAATGAAATCAAATACATCATCAATATTAAAACGGATATAATTGAAAATGTTTAAAATCTTAATGGTTTCTTATATTTTCGCGTACTAGTTTTACCGAATTTATGACGTTCAATTTTACTTCTTTTTCATTCCCGTTTTGGCTGCTTTGCAGCACTCATGGTCACTGGAGTAGTAAAATTAAACACGATAAAAGCCGTAAAAGTAGATGTATTCAATGTTTAAAAACCTCATAAAGAGATAACGTATACACATAATATCTGTCAAAGTTAAATATTAAAGCAATCATTTGTTCTTTCTTTACTTTATTCCTAAATAACTTAAAACTTATACGGCTATGGCCGTAACAAAACGAAAATTTGAGCACAAAACGCCTGAAGAGTTTACGCAATAAATAAAAATATTTCTGTCAGTTCATGACGTTGTTACAATTAATTGTAAATATTAGATTGTAAGCCTAAAGAAGAAGAAACAGTTAACTTAATCTTGTTGAACTTGAATATTGATTTTTTTTCTGTTGATTGTAAATTAAACATTATTTTCTAAGTTTTCACATAGTGTACAATTCTTGTAGATATGTATTGTTAAGATGATTAACATTCTGTAAAAATGTGTTCTTACCGTAGTAAATTAAATAACGAGAATATTTTAGTTACATACGCCGATGTTGTTTATTTTTAAACCTACTTTTGCTAAGCCTGCTTCATCACTCAGCCAATTACAAGTACACTGCTAAACATAGACCTCCACCACCACATAGTGCCACGGACCACGGTCACGGTCCACGAGAACCACGGTCCTGCTTTAAGATTGTTTGACACTGGCTTTAAAAAAAAATGATAACAAAAAAGAGATCCCTGTTGCCTGCTGACTTTCTTTCGCCTTTTCTCCGGGCAGAGAAACCTCATTTCAAACGGTAATACATCAAAAACATTACACAATTAATTATAAATTTTAATAAATTTATTAGAACTCAAATAATAAAATAATAAATTTATTAGAACTCAAATAAATGTTACACTTGTTCCGATTGAGCCCTAACTCCTGAACTAGGAATCCTGTATGTCAGGAGCTAGTCCCTTCCATACATTATGCACAAACATTATTAACATTAATTATACATTTCAATTTAATTTAATTATACTTAATTATATTTAATTATATTCTACTTTATTTTATTTAAAATTGACAAGAACAGTTTATATAAATTATTAAATTTAATTAAAGATAAACATTAAAGAACCAAATATTAAAAAAAAAGGATAATAATATGTGGTATTGACTAAGTAATATGACAAATGTGTGGATGCATGTATGTGTTTTGTGTATGTTATAATTTGTGAAATAGTGTCGTTAACGCGTGAAAGTGTCTGTAAGAGCTAATATATATATATATATATATATATATATATATATATATATATATATATATATATATATATATATGTTTAATCAATTCTTAAGTATTTACGTTCAATAGATTTTCGCAGCTGTCATAATCGTGTTCATTTTGTTTAGGCGTTTCCCGTTTGGTTTTGTTGTATTTTCTAAATGTACGAGTATCGATTATAAAACGATGTATTAATATCTTATTATTTACATAATATTGGAAACACAAACCGCAGTTTCGGAGTAATTCCCTCCGGCAAACGAATCCCCCCAGAGTCACACAATCGCACTGTTAGCCTGATCTACGTTCATCCGTAGACCCTGTACGTTCCGTCGGATCGTCACTCCACCTTGTGATCACCAAACACTACGCTTGCCAATACGAATCCGCCACTCGAGAACTTTTCTTTTTCATCTATCCAGCCCATGGCAAACTATGATGATGACCAACGGAACCGAAATATTATACTACTTGTTTAATCAAAGAGTATGTGTGTGTGTGCGCAAGCACAGGTGCACTCTTGCCCTCACTCTCATAGCATAGTCCGATGGGACGGTTATCCGACACGACCGGAGAATGATCAGGCGCAGCTAGGGTTGCCATCTCCTAAAATGAAAAAGCCGGACTCGGCGCTCCAAAAAGCCGGACTTTTGGCCCTAAAAGCCGGACAGTAATTTTTGGAAAGCCAAACATACCTTTCTGAGGCCATGAGTTAGTTATTTTCGAACAGGCTTTATGACCTTCGTCAGTTCTCAGAGCTTAGTTCGTCATCAACGTGCTGGTGAGGTTGGCAGTTGGAAACGAACTGCAACACACCCAAATTATATGTTAGAATTCTCATTGATCATATTTGCAGTAGAACTATGGTTAAGTACCATTATAGCCCCATAAGTATTAGTAAACTGATTCGACGTTTTATACATACATTCATTACAGTCCGAAAAAAGCCCACTGCTGAACATTGACCTCCGCCATTTGCCATAGCTATGCTGTACATATGGTAAAGTCATGCTGCAGCTATATCAACAGTATAGTTGTAGCACGAATGGGTGGGCTCGACTGGGGAAGGACCACGTTTTCATAGAATACCAGCGTAAAATGGCACCTTAATACTTCTGTGTTTCGTATGGTGAGTCTAGAGAACCAGAGACCCTTTTTACTTGAAACGCATCTGCATTTGGATTCTTAATTGACGATAGATGTACATGTCTATGGG